AGAACAAGTGTCACACAGCATGTCACACTCAGTGTGACAAACACAGTGTCACACACAGTGTCACACAGAGTCACACACAGTGTCACAGTGTCACACACAGTGTCACACATACAGTCACTCACACAGTGTCACACACAGTGTCACACACAGTGTCACACACAGTGTCACACACACAGTCACTCACACAGTGTCACACACAGTGAGTATCACAGTGTCACACACACATAGTGTCACACACAGTGTCACACACAGAGTCACAGTGTCACACACAGTGTCACACACAGTGTCACACACAGTGTCACACACAGTGTCATTATAGCTGAATCTCTGCCCACCTTGCTGTGAGCTCTCAGCCCAGCTGACACCTCCAGGTTGTTGGTTTTACAGACCAGGGTTGTGTTTTTAATGAATTCTTCCCTTCTGGTCCTTCTGTGCCTTAACATTAGGTTGTTTTTAGTAACTGCAGTTTTGCACTGAATTAAGGGTTATATCCAGGGCTGTTTTGTGATGAATTTCCTCCTGAGCTCCAGGCTTGCAGGTATTGTCAGCCTAAGTGAAGGTAAAAATATTAAAAACCTAAAGAGATATATTGGCACAGAGCAGAGAATGTTGTATGGGGGATGAGAGAAGGAGTCACTGTAAATATTTGTGTTTCTTTCCAAAAGAAACTGGAACCAGTTTAAAACTGTAATGTTGTCCTCAGAAGAGTTGATAAATTCAGACCTCCTTAAAACAGAAATAAAACTAAAAGTCATTAGTCTGTGTATTAATTTTGAGCCTTTCCACTGAGTTTGTCCTGTTTAAAGCCTCAGGACTTAGGGTTTTGTTCCTTTTGTGCAACCGGAGGCTTTGGACCAGGACAGCACTTCCATGTGAGTCTGTTCTTGATCTTACATGTGCCTCAGGACACAGAAATCCCCATTATTCTGTGTCTTGTGTTTGAAGAGCTGGATCAAACCAGTCAAAAATGAATATTATGGTCTCTGGTTTGGCTGCCAGTCCCTGTTACCTGGGGATGTCACACCCAAATGTCACATGGTGCAGCGATCCATTTTAAATATTTCAGTGTTTGGCTTTTGACTGGGTCATTTTCTTCTCCCATGTCAGTATTCCCAGGAGAAATCATGGATGAGAAGATGTCCTACAAAGAGTTCCTGGATCGCAACGATTCCTGGTCAGCAGAGGAGAGGGACCTGTGCTTCAAACCCATGGACATGGCTGGTAGGATGGCTCAGGAGCTGGAGCACCCTGGTTTAGCAGCTGGGAGACCTCATGGGCTGCAGGCTCCATCCCTGAGGGGCTCCTGCTCCCCTCATGGAGTGCAGGCTCCATCCCTGAGGGGCTCCTGCTCCCCTCAGTCATGGAGTGCAGGCTCCATCCCTGAGGGGCTCCTGCTCCCCTCATGGCATCCCTGAGGGGCTCCTGCTCGGGATCTCATGGAGTGAAGGCTCCATCCCTGAGGGGCTCCTGCTCCCCTCAATCATGGAGTGCAGGCTCCATTCCTGAGGGGCTCCTGCTCCCCTCATGGAGTCCAGGCCCCATCCTGAGGGGCTCCTGCTCCCCTCAGTCATGGAGTGCAGGCTCCATCCCTGAGGGGCTCCTGCTCCCCTCAGTCATGGAGTGCAGGCTCCATCCCTGAGGGGCTCCTGCTCCCCTCATGGCATCCCTGAGGGGCTCCTGCTCCCCTCAATCATGGAGTGCAGGCTCCATCCCTGCAGGGCTCCTGCTCCCCTCATGGAGTGCAGGCCCCATCCCTGAGGGGCTCCTGCTCCCCTCATGGCATCCCTAAGGGGCTCCTGCTCCCCTCAATCATGGGCTGCAGGCTCCATCCCTGGGGAGCTCCTGCTCCCCTCAATCATGGAGTGCAGGCCCCATCCCTGAGGGGCTCCTGCTCCCTTTCATGGAGTGCAGGCCCCATCCCTGAGGGGCTCCTGCTCCCCTCAATCATGGAGTGCAGGCTCCATCCCTGAGGGGCTCCTGCTCCCCTTATGGAGTTCAGGCCCCATCCCTGAGGGGCTCCTGCTCCCCTCCTGGCCTTCGGCAGCCCCCAGACTCCCTGGGGGTTGGTTTTTGGTTTTGGGCCCAGCCCTGTTCAGGGGGTCCCCCCTGGGGATGGGGCATGGGGTGACCCCTCCGTGCCCATGGCCGGCATGGTGGGTGGGATGTGGCTGTGCTGCAGGGCAGGGGGGCTCCAGGGGGATCAGGACAGGCTGGATCCACAGGCCAAGGGCCATGTCCTGCCCTCGGGGCACTGTCACCCCATGGAACCTCCAGGCTGGCACTGGGGCTGGTGACAGCGGCTGGACACGAGCCCAGGTGGGCAGGGATTGTCCCCTGTGCTGGCCCTGCTGAGGGACCCCTGGGATCCTGGGGGCAGCTCCGGGCCCCTCCCAGCAGGAGAGCCCTGGAGGGGCTGGAGCGAGGCCAGGGAATGGAGCTGGGAAGGGAATGGAGCCCCAGGAGGGGCTGAGGGAGCTGGGAAGGGGCTCAGCCTGGAGAAAAGGGGGCTCAGGGGGGACCTTGTGGCTCTGCACAGCTCCTGCCAGGAGGGGACAGCCGGGGGGTCGGGCTGTGCTCCAGGGAACAGGGACAGGAGGAGAGGGAACGGCCTCAGGCTGGGCCAGGGCAGCTCAGGGTGGAAATTGGGGAAATTCCTTCACTAAAGAGAGGTGAAGTGTTGGCAGGGGCTGCCCAGGACATAGTGCAGTCCCCATCCCTGGAAGTGTTCAAAGCCCAAGCAGACACAGCATTTTGTGATGTGTTTTGGAGGTATTTGGTCAAAAGTTGCAGTTGATTGTCTTGGAACTCTTTTCCAACCCTAGTAATTCTGGGATTCTGTGCCCAGATCAGGTTTTGGGGCACTCCCACAGCTGAGCTGCTGTGAGCACTGTGGGTTTCAGTGCAGCCCTCCCCAGATGTGTTCCCCTGACCTGCAGTGTCCCCAGGCAGTGCCTGTCCCTGTGTCACGTCCTGCCCTGCAGCTGGGGCTGTCCCACACCTCTGCAGCTGCTGGCACTGCTGAACATGAGCTGCACCTTGTGCAACCCAGCCCTGCACACAGATACACTTTCACCCAGCAGCTTCCCCTCAATATTCTCCTTTTTTCCCCTCATTCTTTGAAATTAAATTGCTTGCTGGCTCCAGGAGCACCTGAGAAATGTGGGTCCTGCCCAGATTATCCCAGACAATCAACCTGGAAAGATACAGGATGGAAGTTCTTTTTTTTTAATATATTTTTGAGTACTGTAGGCCTGCTTGGGGCATGATTTTCTTACTGACTGTGAAGAACTGATGTATTTTTACATGGATAAGAAATGATGCATGGAAGAATTGGAATAGCCACAGGTTTCTTGGGTTTTCCCTCCTGTTGCTGTGTGGGTGCAGGAATGGGACATTGGTGTCATTCTGCTCAAGAGCCAGATGTCAAATTTGTTCATGAGGAACAATTTACATACCTGGCCCATCACCCAGTGTTCTTTTGGCCTGAACAATATGAATATTTCAGGTTTTTTGTTGCATGACATTTCTTTAGGTTTCGTGTCCTTGGGGTGTCTTGCACACCTGTACAGGCACCACATAAAGTTCAGGATCAAAGTGTTCCCTGTGTTGCTCTTCCAATTGGATATAAATGAGATTCTGCTTAGAGCTCCCATAATGGAGCAGAGATCAGACTCAGAGAAATCATTTGGTTTATTCAATATTTGTGTGCCCACTCTTTGGAAAATGGGAGGACAATTTCCCTCCCAAGGAGAGGATTCTTTGGCCAGTGGTGTAAAGGATCTCCTGACCAGCATCCCTGTAATTCCCTGTTCCTTGGGGAGAAAGAGGAGAAATTTCAGCTCTCCCACTCCCTTTTCCCTCTGGAGCTGAGGTGGGTTGGCCCAGAGATCTGAGCTGCCCATTTTTTCCACATCATCCAACTGCTGGGCAAAGAGGGAACATCAGCAGGATCTCTTCTAATTTTAAATTGGTTTCAGTCATGCTCTTTTTTTTTTTCCCCTTGTTTTTTGGGGTTGGTTTTTTAATTGGAAAGAAGGCAGTTGTTCAGACCTGGCAACACTGTTGTAAACAGCTCGAAATCAAAATATTCTGCACGTTGCTCCGAGGCAAGATGTTGTCTTGGCATCTCAAATAATCTGACAGGTTTATAAAGGAATTCACTCAGCTCACCTGATCTTGACATCCCAGCAAACTGTGGGCATGGGAACAGCTCAGGCTGGGCTCTCAGCCCTGCAGGGAGCATGTCTGGCATGAAAATGAGCCACAGCCCTCAACCAAATCCCCCTGAGCTGGGTTTAGCTGGAGGAAATCCGAGTGTCTGGAAACAGGGTGTTCCCCTGGAGAGGAGAAGGCTCCAGGGAGAGCTCAGAGCCCTGCCAGGGCCTGAAGGGGCTCCAGGAGAGCTGGAGAGGGACTGGGGACAGGGATGGAGGGACAGGACATAGGGAATGGCTCCCAGTGCCAGAGGGCAGGGCATGGATGGGACATTGGGAAGGAATTGTTCCCTCTGAGGGTGGGGATGATCTGGGATGGAATTCCTAGAGCAGCTGTGGCTGCCCCTGGATCCCTGGCAGTGTCCAAGGCCAGGCTGGATCACCCTGGGACAGTGGAAGGATCCCTAGGGAACCATGGGAACCAATCCTGCTTTATGGACAGCACCTGGAATTTCACTTTTCCCATATGGCTCCTTACCTTAGAAGGTCACAGGATGGTTGAGGCTGGAACTTCCCCAATCTCCCTGCTTAGGCAGGGCTACCCAGAGCCACTTGCCCGGAAGAACTGAGGAAAGAAACTCCTCTTCAGTGCTGGGTGTAGCTCTTGTCTGATGAGAGCTCTCACTCCCAATAATCCTGGAAGAACAGAGGTTCTGCTGCCTCTCATAGAGGGAATTGAAATTCTCTGAGGATGAACCCCAAACCCAGCAGGCTCAAACCTTCCCCTGGGAAAGTCAAAGGCCTGTGGGGTCAGGGCTGGACTCAGTGTGTTTGTTTCCACAGTCCCTGAAGAATACTGGATGGGAGCTCAGCAGGACATGAAGGGACCAGATACCTCTTTCTTTGTTGAGCCACCAGGTAAAAACCAGTTCTGAGCTGATCTGCAGGAAGTGTTGGCAGAGCAGCAGAACCAGCTCCTGTCCTTGTCTGCCTCCTCAAGGGACACCAGGCTGTGACAGAGCCACGTGGGAGCTGGCCAGGGACAGCACTGCTTCTGCTGCTCACATCAGTCTAGAATGGAAATGAGTCTTTGAGGAGTGGGAATGCCTTTAAACTGAAAGAGAGTGGGGTTGGATGGGATATTGGGAAGGAATTCCTGGCTGGGAGGGTGGGCAGCTCCTGGCACAGGTGCCAGAGCAGCTGTGGCTGCCCCTGGATCCCTGGCAGTGCCCTGGCCAGGTTGGACACTGGGGCTGGGAGCAGCCTGGGGCAGGGGAGGTGTCCCTGCCATGGCAGGGGTGGGATTGGGTGATCCTTAAGGTCCCTTCCCACCCAAACCTTTCTGGGATTTTACAATTACCTTTAAATTCTAGTCATAGATAAGTCTTTGAAGCTCCACTGGAGCATTATCCCATTGGGAATTTGTGTGCATTACAAAGCTTGACCCATAATGGGATCTTTATTTCTGTGAAGAAACTGAGAACAGTTTCACCCTGCTCAGGGGTAGGAAGGGTTTCTGGAGCTGGAGGTGGGATTGGGAAGGTTTGGAGCACAACCCTCCCCAGCTTTGCCACTTCTCCTGGGATTCAAGAGTTTTCCTGGGTGCCGCACAAATTATTTTCCTGAGAGTGAGCAATCAAAGCCAATTCTCTCTGAGCTCAGGGAGATTCCCTCCCCGGGGTGGCTGAAGGAGCACCTGGGGGTGTCCCCCCCATCCCAGCAGCTCCATGACCCGAGGCCTTTCCAGGAGCTGATTCCAGCTGCTTGTGTTCCCAGTGCCCCCCGCAGCCACAGAAGCCATAAGGACGAGCCTGCCCGAGAGCCCCACGGCAGCAGCAGCCCCTGGGAACGTTCCTGCTGCAGCCCCAGCACTGCCAGGAGAGGCTGCAGCCACCGAGGGACCAAAGGCTGCAGCTCCAGGTGAGTTCCTGCAGCCTGCTTTGTTGAGCCACCAGGTAAAAACCAGTTCTGAGCTGATCTGCAGGAAGTGTTGGCAGAGTGGCAGAACCAGCTCCTGTCCTTGTCTGCCTCCTCAAGGGACACCAGGCTGTGACAGAGCCACGTGGGAGCTGGCCAGGGACAGCACTGCTTCTGCTGCTCACATCAGTCTAGAATGGAAATGAGTCTTTGAGGAGTGGGAATGGCTTTAAACTGAAAGAGAGTGGGGTTGGATGGGATATTGGGAAGGAATTCCTGGCTGGGAGGGTGGGCAGCTCCTGGCACAGGTGCCAGAGCAGCTGTGGCTGCCCCTGGATCCCTGGCAGTGCCCAAGGCCAGGCTGGATGGGGCTTGGAGCAGCCTGGGGCAGTGGGAGGTGTCCCTGCCATGGCAGGGGTGGGATTGGGTGATCCTTAAGGTCCCTTCCCACCCAAACCTTTCTGGGATTTTACAATTACCTTTAAATTCTAGTCATAGATAAATCTTTGAAGCTCCACTGGAGCATTATCCCATTGGGAATTTGTGTGCATTACAAAGCTTGACCCATAATGGGATCTTTATTTCTGTGAAGAAACTGAGAACAGTTTCACCCTGCTCAGGGGTAGGAAGGGTTTCTGGAGCTGGAGGTGGGATTGGGAAGGTTTGGAGCACAACCCTCCCCAGCTTTGCCACTTCTCCTGGGATTCAAGAGTTTTCCTGGGTGCCGCACAAATTATTTTCCTGAGAGTGAGCAATCAAAGCCAATTCTCTCTGAGCTCAGGGAGATTCCCTCCCCGGGGTGGCTGAAGGAGCACCTGGGGGTGTCCCCCCCATCCCAGCAGCTCCATGACCCGAGGCCTTTCCAGGAGCTGATTCCAGCTGCTTGTGTTCCCAGTGCCCCCCGCAGCCACAGAAGCCATAAGGACGAGCCTGCCCGAGAGCCCCACGGCAGCAGCAGCCCCTGGGAACGTTCCTGCTGCAGCCCCAGCACTGCCAGGAGAGGCTGCAGCCACCGAGGGACCAAAGGCTGCAGCTCCAGGTGAGTTCCTGCAGCCTGGGGTGGGAGGACGTGGAATTGCCTCTCCTGAGGGAAACACAGCAAGGTGGGAACAGATCTGCTGTGCCTGCAGGTGTGGGAGAAGCAGCAAACCTTCTCAGTTGTTGTGCCAGTCCAGGAGCTGATTCCATGGCTCTTTGCTGTCTCCACATTTTAGCTCCAGGAAAATCCTAAGGCTGTGGTTACAGCAGAGTGAGGGAATGGATTAGGGGGAAAAGCCCTCTGAGGTCACCAGGTCCAACCCTTCCCCAGCACTGCCAAGGCCACCACTGACCCACGGCCCCAGGTGCCAGATCTATTCACAAGGACCTTTAACCCATCCTTTTAAAACATTCTCTTTAAAAAAAACCCCATTTTTAATGTATTTATACACAGACTCATGCCAGTTGTTGTCCAGTTTCCTAATACTTCATCCCACTCATTTCCATAATTCTCCAGGGAACATCCATACTGCTTTTAATATCTATCTATTTGCAGTCTTATTCATGTGTAAAATCACAGTCTTTTGGAGAAGATCATGATATCACTGAAAAAACCCACAACAAAGTCAAACCCAAATGAGGCTGGTGCATGATGGATCCTTTTGGTTTGGTTCACTAAAATATTAGTTTCATCTAAATGGATCCTTAAGTACCATTTTAAAAGGGACTTTTTCAATTTTTCTATTTCTTTCCGAGTTCAGTTTAAGTATCTAATTTAGATTTCATACATTTTCCACTGGTTGGGGAGGATATTTTTAGATGTGACTCCAAAAATCAGTAGAAATGTTGTTTTTTGGTCATCAGCAATAGAGAGATGTTCAGGGCACTGAGCTGCAGGACACAGAGGGTGGGCAGAGCTTGGGGCTGTCCAGATGAGGAGCTGCAGAAGAGAGATCCAGTGCTTCTGGCACTGATCATTTGGAAAAGCTTGCCTCTGGACAGCTGAAACATTAAACAAAAACTGACTGGAAAACCTCCTTGAAGGGGATTTTAGGCAAATAAGAGCTTAAATGCAGAGGTTTGATTTTGCTGTGAAGTGACAAATGTTGGTTTGGAGCTACCAGCTCAGTGTTAGGAGATACTGTGTGAAAAATGAACAAGGCCAGTTTGGAGGAATAGAGGGAATTTGGGATTCGTGGGAGGATTTTGTGTCAGGAGTGCCAGAGCTCCTGCTCGAGCACCAACCAAACCCCACCACCAGCACAAACCATGTTTAGAATGAAGTGTGTGGCTCTGGAGTGTGTCAGGACTTTTCCTGCTCTTGGGAGACCCGCTGGGCTCACACGGGTGATTCCACATTTTCTGTGTCCTGCAGTAGAGGGAAAACCAGCTTTCCTAGGGAAGCTGTGGCTGCCCCATCCCTGGAAGTGTCCCAGGCCAGGATGGAGCAACCTGGCACGGTGGGAGGTGCCCCCAGGTGCCAGATCTATTCACAAGGACCTTTAACCCATCCTTTTAAAGCATTCTCTTTAAAAAAAATCCCCATTTTTAATGTATTTATACACAGACTCATGCCAGTTGTTGTCCAGTTTCCTAATACTTCATCCCACTCATTTCCATAATTCTCCAGGGAACATCCATACTGCTTTTAATATCTATCTATTTGCAGTCTTATTCATGTGTAAAATCACAGTCTTTTGGAGAAGATCATGATATCACTGAAAAAACCCACAACAAAGTCAAACCCAAATGAGGCTGGTGCATGATGGATCCTTTTGGTTTGGTTCACTAAAATATTAGTTTTATCTAAATGGATCCTTAAGTACCATTTTAAAAGGGACTTTTTCAATTTTTCTATTTCTTTCCGAGTTCAGTTTAAGTATCTAATTTAGATTTCATACATTTTCCACTGGTTGGGGAGGATATTTTTAGATGTGACTCCAAAAATCAGTAGAAATGTTGTTTTTTGGTCATCAGCAATAGAGAGATGTTCAGGGCACTGAGCTGCAGGACACAGAGGGTGGGCAGAGCTTGGGGCTGTCCAGATGAGGAGCTGCAGAAGAGAGATCCAGTGCTTCTGGCACTGATCATTTGGAAAAGCTTGCCTCTGGACAGCTGAAACATTAAACAAAAACTGACTGGAAAACCTCCTTGAAGGGAATTTTAGGCAAATAGGAGCTTAAATGCAGAGGTTTGATTTTGCTGTGAAGTGACAAATGTTGGTTTGGAGCTACCAGCTCAGTGTTAGGAGATACTGTGTGAAAAATGAACAAGGCCAGTTTGGAGGAATAGAGGGAATTTGGGATTCGTGGGAGGATTTTGTGTCAGGAGTGCCAGAGCTCCTGCTCGAGCACCAACCAAACCCCACCACCAGCACAAACCATGTTTAGAATGAAGTGTGTGGCTCTGGAGTGTGTCAGGACTTTTCCTGCTCTTGGGAGACCCGCTGGGCTCACACAGGTGATTCCACATTTTCTGTGTCCTGCAGTACAGGGAAAACCAGCTTTCCTAGGGAAGCTGTGGCTGCCCCATCCCTGGAAGTGTCCCAGGCCAGGATGGAGCAACCTGGCACGGTGGGAGGTGTCCCTGCCAGGAGAAGGGATGGGACTGGAACTGGGACATCTTGAAGGTGCCTTGCAGCTCCAGCCATGCTGGGGCTCTGCTGGCTGTGGTTCCTGGCTGGGCTCTGCTGGAATGTGCTCCTGGCTGAGGATCCAGCAGCTCTGGCCCCCAGCCAGCTGGGTGGCATCAGGCAGCTTTGGCACAGAAGCAATCCATGCCAGCTGCTGCGGGCTGGGAGCAGATGGGAGCCCCGCTGCAGCCAGGGGTGCACACAGGGCACGGGGGGCTGCAGCAGGAGAAGCTCTGCATGCATCCAGGAGAGGATAAGGACTGGCACAACTGGGTGAGCTGCTGGCAGGGGGAGGAGGTGGTGCTGAAAGCCAGGAGGAGACACAGGGAGCGAGCCCTGGGTGTTCCAAAACCACAGAGCAGCAGGTCAGGAGTTCCCATGGGGTTTTCCCTGACCTGTGGTGCCTGTGCTCCTGGCAGGTGCAGCCTCTGTTCCCCCCGCCGACGCCGCGTTCCTTCCCGCAGAGAAAGCTGGAGACACCAAACCTCCCCAGAGTCCTGCAGCAGCAGCAGCCAGCCCTTTCCAGGCCACGGATGGAGGCTTTTCTCCTGCACCTGAAGCCAACCCTGCCAAAGGTGTCAATGACACGTCCACCCCAGGGACAGAGCTCGGCTTCGCCCCGGCAGCAGATGCTGGATCCCACCATGGGGTGGATTTGGGGTTTGCTCCAGCAGCAGGTGTGGAGTCCCACCAAGCCACGGATCTGGGATTTGGCCCAGCAGCAGGTATGGAGACCCACCAAGCCATGGATTTTGGATTTTCCCCATCAGCAGGTGTGGAGTCCCACCAGAACATAGATTTGGGGTTTGCTCCAGCAGCAGGTGTGGAATCTCACCAGAACATGGATTTGGGATTTGCTCCAGCAGCAGGTGTGGAGTCCCACCAGACCATGGATTTGGGGTTTGCCCCGGCAGCAGATGCGGAACCTCACCATACCTTGGATTTGGGATTTGCTCCAGCAGCAGATAACAAAGCTCAGCACGTTATGGGCTCTGAGTTTTCTTCAGCAGCAGAAGTCAACCATCACCATGGCCTGGATTCTGGCTTTGCTCCTGCAGCTCCAGCCAAGCCTGTCCCTGCTGTGGACGGTGGGAACGTGGAGGCTCAGCCTGGCCCTGCAGCTGCCCCCAGCCTTGCTGTGTCTGGGGAGCTGCTGACATCTGAGGCTGCCCTTCAGCAGGACAAGTGTCCTGCAGGTGAGTGTGCCCAAATCCCAGAATCCCAGTCACAGATAGTCCAGGTTGGAAAAGGCCTCTGAGGCCACAGAGCCCGGTGTTGATTGGCTTTGGGTGAAGTAGCTTGAGGAGAGCTCAGCTCTGCTCTCAGGAGACACAGAAAATGCATCACGGGGATTCTTCACTCACAGAACATAAATCTAGAGGTTTTTAATGATTTAAAAATTTTCATTGGGTGTTCTTAGCAGTGCTGAGTGGTCTGAGGACAGCCATGGAGAGGTGCTGGCTCATCCCTGCTGGTGCTTGTCTCTGTGTCACCACCACCCTCAGCTCTCCTTGAAATCTCCCAGATCCTGTAGGACACAGAGCTGACAAAGAGAGGTTCTTGAAAACAATTTCTGAAGAGACTGAAAGGCTTAGTTGATAATTTTGGGACCTTTCCTTGGGATGACTGTAGGTGTTGAATGCTGGGAATGGTGTGTTTGGTTTTCCATGTGCAGATTTGCTGTACTCTGTGGATTTCTCCAGGGACACCATCCCTCTGGAGAGAAAACTGCTCTCCAAAATTGTCTTTATTTTATATTTATATTACTAAAATGCAGCAAATAGTCCTGGGCAGAGGCAGCATATGTGGATTGGTTGTGGACGGGGTTGGAGTGAGATATTTTGTCTCACCTTCTAATACTCTTTAGTTTAATGATGAGGATACATTTCAAGAGAGAAGTTGTAACAACAAAAAAAAACCTCAGTAAAATGTAAAGACTGAGAGGCCCAGGTGAATGAATGAAAGAGGAAGTGCAAGACAATGCAGGAAGGTAGAAGGATCCTAAAAATCAGGTTTTGAAAGTGAGGAAACCCTACAGTTCCTTGCAGAAAATGAAAAATTAGGCGAGGGAGTGATTTTTATCTAATTTAATCTGATCTATATTTAAAACCAGGAATTTTTGTTCTTTACATTCCTTTTGCAGAAGCAACAGCAAAGGTGGAGGCAGAATCCAAAGTCCCAGAAATTTGTGTGGATCACTCAGAGGAGATGAAGGACAGGAAACCTCCCCCGAGCCCCCGGGAGGAGGAAATTCCCGGGAAAACCCAGCAGCCCCCGGAGGCAGCAGGTGGGAAATGCAGCCAGGGCAGAGCTCTGCCCCAGCCAGGGCCAGGCTCCAAACTGCAGTCCCAGCAGCTTTTCAGTGCCTGCTGACCCAGGGCACATCCACAGAACTTGTCCTTTTCTTCCCCCTGAACAGTTGTTGTACCAATGCCTGTCATCGTTTCCCTTTCTATTTAAAATTTAAATAAAATTAATTACAGAGAGAACTGCTCTCCCTTGTAATTATGCCTTACAAATGAAAACTGGCTGTAATTATGCAGAGTGAGGAATGTTGTGGTGGCTGTGTGGATGTATTGTAAGGTATGGATGAATACAAGATGATCAGCATTAGCCAGGGACTCCAGGCTGATCATGGAGTTCATTCTGGATTTGAATTCCCAGTGGGAAGCTGGGATAGTCTGAATTGGCTTGATTACAAAGAGGAAAAAAACCCAAACAAACCCTCACTCTGTGCTTAAAAGTCCTGAAACAGCCCCTGCTTCGTGTTCTACCCCCACCTTGGCATGTGCCAAATACAAAAGTGCTGCTGAAATGGGATTGTGAGGGGATGACCCAACCATGTCTCATAAACCTCATTCCTGCTAAACACAAAATTAACCCCTTTGCAAGGGCTGGGGTTTAGCTGCAGGCTGCCTGTGCTCCTGAGACCTGAAGCTTTCTGTTCCTGTCTTTCATGTTCCAGCTGAAGCAAAAGGAGCACTAGAAAACAAAGAGCTTCCAGAAAAATCTGCTCCTGCTGAGAATGGTGAGACACAGAAGGAGGAGGCTGAGCACAACCACGTCCAACATGCAGAACCTCAGGAAGGGAAAACCCTGCAGGAGCCCACAGGTAGGATAGAAATCTTAACATAAAAAATAATTCCATTTCCTCATGGAAACCTCCTCTGGGAACTCTTCACCTTCTGCTCCTGGCTGTGGGGCCACCTGGGCAGCAGAAATGTCTTTGTGTGGCTCTCAGTGCTCCTGGTGCTGGGCTCTCCCTTCCCCTCGGATCCCTGCCCTCTCCAAGGCTCTTTTCCCCCCACACCCAAACTAAAAGCCCAAATAAATCCCTGTGCTCTGGGTGCTTTATCACTGGGACTGGCTCACAGCTGTGCTGGAGGATTGCAGAGCTCTCATCTCTCTGCCATCAGCACTGGCTTTTATTTTGGTGTTGAGGACTGTTAATTCTCGTGAGGATATTCCAAGGGAGGATCTCCTTCCCAACTGAGCTGTGCAATTGCCAAAGGAAGATGTGATTTTCTCCTGCTCCACTGACCCAGCCTCCAGAGGGGCTGGTGCTGCTCACACTTGGTGAGGAGGAGGATTTGTGGGCCAGGGCTGAGTGACAAACAAGTGCTGCTCTCCTCACCCCCTGAGGGATCCCCAGGGACACAGCAGGTGACCCTGGGACAGAGGCTCTGCCTCCCCCTGCTTCCTCCCTGGCTGCTGGGGAAACTTGGCTCTCTTGCCCCCATCTCTCTTCCCATCTTCCCACTAAACTTCTGTTTTCCCACTCTGGAAGGATGCCAGCTAGAGATATAAAAAGGCTCTCTCTGATCTTGTCTTGCTGAGACAAAATGGATCCTTAATGCATTTTTAAAAAGCAATGGCATGTCCTTGCAAGAACTGGTGCTTTTTGGTGGGGTAAGAGCCTGTGTCAGACTTGTGTTTAAATAGCACTGGTGGATGGATTTGGGGTAGATCACACAGGTGCTGGGGTAAATACCTACCCCAGCCCTCCTGAGGTGGCTCTGGTGTGGTTCCAGTGCTGGGAAATCCTGCACATCTGCCTGTAGGGCCTGTTTGAGAGGGCTGCAGCCACACAGAGAATATATTTATTATTTCTTTTATCAAGCAAATAGTGGCCTTGATGTTTGAGCAGGCTTCCTGTATTCCAGGTCTTCCCACTGCACAAGTCAGGCAAGCTCCCAAATCCAGGGACCGTGGGTTTGGCAGAGCAAAACCTGCCCCAGTGCCTCTCACAGATGTGCCAGAGGAGCATCCTGTAGGTGTCACACAGCAGAAGAGTCCTGAGCCCAGAGCAGACCCCTGTTCCACAGTGGAGCTTGGCTGTGGTGCTGGAGCATCCCCTCGCTTTAGGGCTCCTCACAAAAAGGCCACCAATGTCCCCACGGAGCCTGTGGAGAGCTGCAGAGATCCCCCCCAGGAAAACTGGGATTTGGAAGGTGCCATGGTGAAGAAAAAGAAAAAGAAACCAAAACAAAGGAGAAACCAGCTGCCAAGAGGGATGGAGTTCTGGGATGAGAATGGAACAGCCTCCCGAGGTGCCAGGAGTGCTCCCTTTGGGGTGGAGTGGCAGAAGCCAGCCGTGTGTCCCAGAACACCCCCAGGAAGCAGAGCTCTGGATGTGCCACAGGATGCTAAAATAACAGCAGGGAGTCATATCCTGGAGGAGCAAAAGGCCTTCCCTGTGCCAGCCCCAGGACAGCAGGGCCCAAAACCCAGCGTGCTGCATGCCAGCCCCAGGGAGGAGATGGAACCACAGGGAAGGAGAGGTGACAGCTGGATGCTGGGATCTAAGGGCAAAAGCAAAGAGGTTCCCTCAGAGCAGGTGGGCCAGACTGAGGTGCAGCAATCTGCTGCAGCCAAGGAACCCAGCAAGGCCACGGAGAGAGATTTCCCCAGGAAAAATGAGAAGAGGGAGGACAGGGAGTCAAAAGGTGCCGAGCTGAAGGTCAATCTGAGCAAGGCAGAAACTCCCTTACAGACCAACCCTTCAGAACTGCCCCTGTCCCATAAAAACAAGGAGCCCAAAACCCCATCTCCAGGGCAGGAAGCACCCAGTGACTCTGTCCAGCAGCCTTCCCTGCAAACAGCAGCCAAGAAAAACTGGGAAAGAAGCAAAGGGCTTGAAAGGGAATCCCTCAAACAGCCTCACCTGGAGGCTGCAGCCGTGGAGGACAAGCTCCCTGCAGAGCCAAAGGCAGCTGGAGAAAGTAAAAGAGGGTCAGAGGGAGGAGTGAGGAGCCCAGCAGATGCTCCTGGAGCTCCTGTTCCAGTTCCACCAGAAGCTGGGGAGGTTCCAGCTGGGCAGGACAGGGCCCAGGGTGTCCCCAAACATCCCAGCCCTGGCGAGGCAGGGGGCAGGGGGGTGGCAGCAGATCCAAAGCAAGGGAAAGGAGTCCCTGGTTCTGAGCAGCAGGCTGGGCCAGACCCCGGCCTGGCACACGGCACGGACCGGCCTAAGAAAAAGCGCAGCGAAGGGAGAGGCAAAAGAATGAAAAGCTGCTCGGAGCAGGTGATGCTCTCAGAGGATGGAGGCAAATCCTCTGATGGAGGGAGGACAGACGAGGCTGGGAAGGAAGCAGTTTATCCTGAAAATGGCCAGGGTGTTCCTGCCAGAGGACACCCATCAGGCAGCGCTGCACAGGCCTGTCCTGCAGACAAGCCCAAAAAAAGGGGCAGCGATGGAAGGAGCAAAAAAGGGGAAAGGAGCTTTTTCCAGCAGCCTTTCCTTGAGAATAAGATGGACTCAGGGAGTTTTCCTGAGGGAGCTGATAAGGTGAAGGAGGGCAGTGATAAGGGCAGAGAGCAGGGCTGTATCCCTGCTGGGGGCTTGCAGGAAAATGCAGCTAAAATGCAAAGGCCAATTGAGCTGGGACCGGAGAAACCGAAAGAAAATGTTGGGAAAGGTGAAACAGCTGATTTGGGAGCTTTAGACCAAGCTTTGCTGCTGGAGAAGAGCAGAGAGGAAGCCAAAACTCCTGCTGTGGCTGCCACCATCAGCCCCACAGAACAGGTGGGTTGGGCTGGGAAAGGCAGGGAGGCTGGAGGTGCTGGGCTCAGCTCGGATGTGCCAGTGCTGGCAGAGAAACCCAGGAAGAGGAGCAGTGATGGGAGAAGGAAACAGCCTGAGAAAAGCCCCTCTGGGCAGGCAGCTGTCCTGGGGGCTGGGGGGGAAGCCAGGCAGGAGCAGGTGGCTGGAGGCAGGAAGGAAATGAGCTTGGCTGAGGAGAAGGGGTCTGGTTTGCAAAGAGAGAGGCTGGAGGAGGAGCTGGGCAAGCCCAAAATCCAGGGTGGCACTGGGAGCTTCTCTGAGCAGCCAAATCTTTCAGGCCATAAAACAGAGACTTCAGAGCCAGAAATAGGGAAAGGAAACTTGGAAACTAAAGGAACTTGGCCTGTGAATAAAGGGAAGGAAGCAGATAAATCCCCGGAGCACAGGGCAGGGATGCACAGTCCCACCAGGGAACTGGGCATGGACAAGCCCAAGGGTAAAAGCAGAGATGGGAAAGGCAAAAAGGCTGAGCACAGTCCTGAGCTGCAGCCAGGTGACATCCCTGCAGTGGGACGTGTTCAGCCAGCTCAGTCTGAGGAGAGTAAAGAGAATTCCAGGACTCCAGAGGTGCTGCTGGGTCACCTGCCTGATCCTGCCAAGGTCCAGGCCCCTGCTTTGCCCCTGGAGCCAGGGAAGTCACACACAGGTGGTGAAGAGAAGCCCAGAAAGGGGGAGCCTGACCCACAGCAGCCTTTGCTGCTGGAGCATAAAGCAGGAGCAGGGGTGCTCCCTCCTGCTGGCCTGGAGATCAGGGACAAACCTGAGGCCAGAGGTGCCAGTCCTTGCAGCAGGAATAAAAATCCTATTCCAGAGCATCCAGCAGTGTCAGATCTCAGCCTAGCCCCAGTCACCGAGAGATCTAAAAAGAGGGGCTATGATGGAAGCAGTAAAAAGGCTAAAAATGCCTCCAGGCAGCTTGTTCCTCTGGAGGCAAAAGCAGACAGGAGGGAAGCACAGCCTGCCGTGGGAGCTGGGCCGGAATGTGGGGTGGAAGACACAGATCTTGTAGATGAAAACAGAAACATTAAAAACTTTCCCACTGGCCCTCAAAGACTTGGCAGTAATAAAGGAAGTGACTTCAAGTCCATGTCTCAGACCCCAGCAAGTGGCCCTGGGGGTGGGGGTGATGCTCCCTGTGGCCTCCCAAAGCAGGGAGAGGGGGGTGCAGGGACTGGGGGCCTTCCTCCTCCTCCTCCTCCTCCTCTGGAAGCAGTGGCAGAGAAAAGCAACAAAGAGCCTGGACTTGGTGCTAAGAAGGAGATGCAGACCCTGAGATCTCATGAGCAGCCCAAAGAACCTGGAAAAGAGGTTTCCCAGAAAGGTGGGGAGAGCAGAGAGGCTGGTTCCCAGGGTGGCCGGCCCGAGGACAAAAGTCACCTTTGTCCCGTGGCAAAGGTGGATGATAAGGAAATAAAACCCATTGATACAAAGCACAACACTGCCAAGGCTCCCTCAGAGCTTCCTCACAAGGCAGCAGATCCAAAACACAGAGCAGCCTCTGCAGCTGCTGAGGGGACAGGGGGACCAGAGGCCACCGTGTCCTGTGCAGAGACGGGCACAGGGAGGTCCCCAGCCCCTGCAGGGACACCTGGCAGCACAGGGAGCATTTCCACAGCCCCTGCAGGCAAGGACAGGAAGGCTGGAGGGGCTGAGCAGGGCAGGGACATGAGGAATGAGCAGAGCTCACCCCAACAGCAGGGCACTGAGCCTGAGGCTGCTGGGACAGCTGCCCAAACTACCCAAAAACAGCCCAGAGAGAACAAAAAAGGTCCCTGTCAGCCTGCAGAGAAGGGCCCTGCTCTCCTGAAGGATGATGCTCCTCGTGCTGGGGAGGTTCTCCTGAAGGATGCTCTGGTGTCAAAGTCTGAGGGGGATAAACCTCAAGAGAAAACCAAGGAAAAGGATTCTCAAGCCAAAACCAAAGAAAAGGAGTCTCAGGACACAAATAAAGAAAGAGAAACTCAAGATACAGCTAGAGAAAAGGAATCTCAAGACATAACCAAAGAGAAGGAATCTCAAGAAGTAACTAAAGAAAAGGAGTCTCAGGACACAACTAAACAAAAGGAATCTCAGGACACAACTAAAGAAAAGAAAACTCTAGAAGTTACTAAAGAAGAGGAATTTCAGGACACAACTAAAGAGAAGGCATCTCAAGAAATTGCTAAAGAAAAAGGATCTCAAGACACAGCCAAAGAGAAGGAATCTCAGGACACAGCTAAAGAGAAGGAATCTCAGGACACAGCTAAAGAGAAGGAATCTCAGGACACAGCTAAAGAGAAGGAACCTCGAGCCCCAAGTAAGGAGACAGAAGAAGAACGTGAGCAGAAAGTGGTGAAAGAGGCAAAGAAAGAGAGAGTGAAGGCAGCAGAGCAGCCCAAGGGCTACATGAGACCCACCAAGGCCCGAGGGGTGCCAGCCCTGGTGCCAGCCCTGGCGGCCAGAGCCGTGCCCCGGCGGCCGGACAGAGGTGTGTGTGTGCCAGGGCCTGCTGCGTGCCCTGGCCTGGCATGAGCCCCGTGGGCATCCCAGCGTGGCATGAGGGGTGCTGGCTGCTCTCAGGGGCTGCTGGGGCTGCTTGCCTGGCTCACAGCGCTCATCCCCAAAGTCAGAGCTGGCACAGCTCTGCCTTGGGTCATCCTTGGGATTGAGTTACAGCTGTTGTGGAGGGTCTGGGTGCAGGTGGCCCTGAGCTGGGGTGTGGCAGTGTCCCCTGACCCTGCTCAGGGATGGAGGATGCCAGGGGCAGGGAATGTTCTGGGTCCCTGCTGTTGGCAGGGTTTGGCTTTATCCCACCTCAGACCAACTGCATCCCCTTCTCCTCCTGCAGTTGGTTTGGCTTGAGCCTCCTTGAGCCTCTTCATCCACAAAATGCGTTTCCTTCTAGAATCAAAACCTTTTCCAAAGCAGCTCTAACAAAACAATGGTGGGACTGATGTAAATTTTGGGACTTTATCCCTCTTAGGAGACTTTGGATGGGCTGGTCAGCATCCAGGGCTGGGCACCCTGGCTGTTCTCCAGGGAACAAGCTCCCTGTGCTCATTGCAAATGAGCTGGAATTCATCCCACAGAGCTGAACCCAGTTCTTAGAAATTTTGAAATATGGCTAGAGATAAAATTACGAATATTCTTGTACTTGTGCTCATTGTAAAGCTTCCTCAGAAAGAGCTGGCATCTCTGTGAGCCCCGCTCTGCCGAGACGGGCCGGGCAGTTTATCCCTGCCCTCAGGTGCTCTCCAGTTTTGCCTTGTCATCAGGCATGGAAGTTTGCTGCTGTTCCTGCAGAGTTTCTTGCTGCCAGTTTGCATGATGCAGCCACTAACTCACCAGACCCCGAGCTCCAGAGTGCCTTAACATGCTGCTCAGGTTTTTGAGAGGTTTTGTAATTTTAATGAGTGTTGCATAACCTGAAGTAGTTCTGTTTTAGTGGAAGTGGTGTTCTCTGCATGAACTTGTGCCTGCAGAAGTGATGCTCTTTGGTGCATGATGCAACAAAACAAAGGGAAAGCTGAAGGCAGCATCTTTTACAAAACCAACACTTCTTCCAAGCCTTTCCATTGTCTGCCAGGAGTTTTTGGAGGAAAAGCTCCTCCTGAGTATCTTGCACAGGTAACGGTGCACGGATTGGAGGAGTCCTGGCTCAGAGTAGCACTGTGAGTAAGTTGGCACAAACTTTGCAGCTGGAAGTTGTCCTGAAGTCAGTTTACTCAGGGCTTTGATATCCTTCCATTGCTTTCCTCCTGTCAACACTTTGTAGAGTCAACAGTTGGTGTGTTGGGGTTTTTAGGAGGAGCTCGGAATGGCCAGCTCTGAGTTTCCCCAGAAGATGCTGGGCCCTGCCCAGGCTCCCCAGGGAATGGGAACATTCCCAAGGCTGCCAGAGCTCCAGGAGCAGTTGGACAGCACTCTCAGGGATACACAGGGTGGCATTTTGGGATGTCTGTGCAGAGCAGGAGGTGGATCAATGATCCCTGTGGGTCCCTCCCAGCTCAGGAGCTTCCATGGTTCCAGGCCTGAGCTTGTTTTGGAGCTCCTGGTGCTGTGTTCCCACAGCAGCTGAAGGTGCTTTGCCATCCCAGAACCCCAGGGTCATTAAGGTTGGAGTCCTGTGCCCAATCCCAGCCTTGTCCCCAGCCCAGAGCCCCGAGTGCCACCTCCAGGAGTTCGTGGGATGGGCACTCCAACCCTCCCCGGGCAGCCCCTGCCACCAGATCCAGATCCATGACTGAGGCTTTTGTCTCCATTTCCATCCGTGCTGGCCCTTCCTGGACCAGCTGTTCCAGAGCTGCAAACACCCCCAGGGCCTGGCTGAGTCCCTCAGTTGGCACAAGTGGGGTGGAAGTGCCTGGAGAGGGAATTCACACCCCAGGGGCACGGAGCTGAGCCCAGCACCAGGGAGGGGAAGGCTGCTGAGATCTCTGGCCAGGTGACTGTGCTTGTTCATGGCAGAGATCAGGGAACTGGTCAGGTTGGAGAAGTCCAGCCTTTAACCCCAGCACTGACAGGACCACTGACCCACATTCCCCCGTGCCACATCCACAAGTTTTGACCATTTCCAGGGCTGGTGGTGGCAGCACTCCCCTGGGCAGGGCTGCAGGAGATCTCTGTGGATGTCCAGGTGTCACAGGGACTGTGTGTCCCCTCCACGTGCCTGTTTGTGCTCCTGTTCTGTGACAATGGCATGCTCAGGGCATTTGTATCTTTAGCTGTTGTCACACCTTGGCCACCTCCTCACCTGTGACTGTCAGGCAGGACTGGGGGGCTCCTGCTCCACACCTGATATCCTCACAGGATCCTGGAATGGTCTGGGTTGGGAGGGACCTTAAAGAACACCCAGTGCCACCCCTGCCATGGCAGGGACACCTCCCACTGTCCCAGGCTGCTCCAAGCCCTGTTCAGCCTGACCTTGGGCACTGCCAGGGATCCAGGGGCAGCCACAGTTGCTCTGGGAATTCCATCCCAGCCAGGAATTCCCAATTCCCAATCTCCCATCCATCCCTGCCCTCTGGCAGTGGGAGCCATTCCCTGTGTCCTGTCCCTCCATCCTTGTCCCCAGGAGGGGAAGGCTGCTGAGATCTCTGGCCAGGTGACTGTGCTTGTTCATGGCAGAGATCAGGGAACTGGTCAGGTTGGAGAAGTCCAGCCTTTAACCCCAGCACTGACAGGACCACTGACCCACATTCCCCCGTGCCACATCCACAAGTTTTGACCATTTCCAGGGCTGGTGGTGGCAGCACTCCCCTGGGCAGGGCTGCAGGAGATCTCTGTGGATGTCCAGGTGTCACAGGGACTGTGTGTCCCCTCCACGTGCCTGTTTGTGCTCCTGTTCTGTAACAATGCATGCTCAGGGGGTGTGTATCTTTATCTTTAGGACTGGGGGGCTCCTGCTCCACACCTGATATCCTCACAGGATCCTGGAATGGTCTGGGTTGGGAGGGACCTTAAAGAACACCCAGTGCCACCCCTGCCATGGCAGGGACACCTCCCACTGTCCCAGGCTGCTCCCAGCCCTGTTCAGCCTGGCCTGGGCACTGCCAGGGATCCAGGGGCAGCCACAGTTGCTCTGGGAATTCCATCCCAGCCAGGAATTCCCAATTCCCAATCTCCCATCCATCCCTGCCCTCTGGCAGTGGGAGCCATTCCCTGTGTCCTGTCCCTCCATCCTTGTCCCCAGCCCCTCTCCATCTTCCTTGTTTCTTTCCCCTGGTGGGCAGGCAGTGATTTGCTCCCGTTTTAAGGCATTTTAGAGGACCTCCTGCTGAATTTCAGTGATGAAATCTCTTTAGCCAGGCTCCCATGTGCTACACTGTGTGTTCCAGGATAACAGGATGCTTCCCTAAAAACATCAGCTCCTGTCTGTGCTGCTAAAATAGGTGCCAGCGTTGTGGTGCAGCTCCCCCGGGAGCCATGGCAACTGTGATGCTGCAGATCCCTCTCTGACGGGAGTGGATCCATCTCCTGTAAATTAGGCCTTGCACACTTGGGTAATTTTATTTTTTTTTTCTATTTTTGACTGTGCAGCTTAAGGAACATTGGCTATAAGGCTGATTGTGCAATTCTTAAATTTAATCCCTTATCCCTCTTTTGGGTTTATTTCAGCTTCTCATTGTTGTCGTTGCCATTGGAAAAACTGCCCCAGAGCCTCCTGGAAAATTATTTTATATCTTTTAATGTAAGGAGGCAAAGCTGATAACAGAAACACCACAGGCATTATCAACCTTTACAATGTGACTGAACCTTTGTGGTGCCTCTTGTGTGAATTAAAACTCAATTTGGGAATTAGGGATGACAGTCAGGGTCCTCAATTCTGTACTTCCAAGGAGGTGCTGGGTGCTGGGGAGTGGTTAAGGGGGGGATGATGGAAAGTTTGCACGGGGCCAGGGTTGGGCTGTTGGATTCTGATCTGCTGCTGACATCCCCCTTCCCTCTGCTCCTCAAGCTCTATTTCAAAGGGAGACTTGCAGAAGATTTTTTTTTTCAATCTGTCCTTGAAGAATAGTCGATTTTAGAAAAAAGAAATTAATTTGTTTCAGTGTTTGGGGGCTGTATCCTCTTATGGATTTTGATTTGCATAAGCTGTTCAGCCCAGGGCCAGCTCTGCAGCTGAGTGCTCGTTGCACAACCACCCTGTGGTGCAGACAGTCTGCTCCTGAATTCCTGCCCCAAATGGGGGCTGGGGGCTGCTGGAGGGCTCATCTCAAGCCTGGATCCCTCTTCCCCCCCATCCATCCCCATCCCTGTGGCTGCCTCCTGTCCCCAGCCCGTGCCAGGCTGTCGTGCTGCCCATTGCCGCAGTCACCCTGTGGGATGCAGGGCAGATTTCTCAACAGTTTGTGTGCAAATCAAATCCATTTAAAAGCAAGAAATGCCCATCCCTGTCTAATGACAGGATTTGCTTTGCTTTTGCAGCCACAGTGAAGCTCTCACTGTAAATATTTTCTTCTCCTGCCCGATTTCCATTTTTTTAAGTGGGTCTAGCATTTGCACAGTAACCTTTCAGTCATACCATGTTTGTAGTTCTCCTGTGGGACCCCAAACTTTAATTGGGTTTGTCTGACAGGAATTCATCAGCTGATTAACGCTGTGTTAATCAGGGCAGGGGCTGAAGGATGTGTAAGTGCAGCCAGTCATCCTGAGATCATCAGCACCGATGCAGTTGTGTGCAGGAGCTGGTCATAGCAGAGGTGCTCTAATAATGCTTTGGAGATGCTCAGTGCTGCTCATCATATTGCAGGCTGTGCATTAATTAAAGGCCTGTTAATTATCCCAGGGGGTGTGTGAGGGCACTGAGCCCCACTCGGTGTCACCAGGCAGTTCTGTCCGTGTCACACGGCTTTGAGAGGGGACCTTGGCCCTGGGCTGCTCTCCTGCCCTCGGCCCTGCTGTGAGTTTGGCTCAGCTTGAGCAGAAGGCTTTGTGGAGCTGTTGCTTCTGCCCCTGGCTAAAAACTGAGCTGAGCTGAGCTGAGCT